TGTCACTGCTGGCTGGCCAGGCGACAGTGGTTGTGGTCGGCGGGCGGTTGTGCGTGCAAAGTGAGTGGTGGGTTGTGCGTGATACGTGGTTGGTTTTTGTCGACCGTTGGTCAACGCTGGGAGTCCAGAGGTCGCTGTCCGGCGCTCTGTGATAAGAACCCGAGCGAATTTGCGGTCATTGACAATGTGGTCAACGGGCAATTTCGTTTTCTTCAACCAATCCCTGGTCGATGGCCGTGCAGATAACGTCAGTGGCAAGAGCGCATGTACCAAGGCCAGTGCACCTGCTTTGTATGAGGAGAGTTGGAGCCGACCGGAGCTGCAGTGGTGAGCCTCGTGGGGTCACAGAGTGGCGCCGCCGCCGTGCGCCCTTGGCTGCACCCCTGAGCACGCCCCGTGCCGCACCTTGCCTCCCGGAGAGACCGTGCTCACCAAACAGCTGACAGGCATGCGCCGCTCCGGCCCGCGGACCCGGACCTGATCGGTAACAGGATGTGTCCGCTCACCTTGGTCAGTGGGAAGGTTTGGTAATTGCTGGGACGCGGCCTCCAAATCGAAGCGTGCTTGTCGCCCGTAATGCTCTTGATGGCGCAGTGGCCACATCAATGTTCATATGCGTCATGGCTATCCATCAGAGCGATCTGCTATGTTGGCGTGCCGCCCTTTGTCACGCGACACGAAATATTCATTAGTGCGTGCCAAAGTTTGATACGCCGTATGGCAGAGACACCTCAGCGGCAACAGTAAGCCAAGAAACCTCTATGCTGAAAGTGTCTACCACGTTGCCTTGCCAATTAAGCGGGGAGACAGGCCGAACTGTGCTTGGAACGTGACGCATGAGCGGGGCGGGGTGGCAGTCTGCGAACGGAACCGCAGCAGCCACCTGGCGTTGTTCGTCACTGTGAACTACACGACTGGGGCTGCCCCGTCAGCCGAACGCCGTGTTGTCACCGTGCGACTGTCTGCACACTTCAATTGTAGCGGCGCCGCGCTCGTCGTCTGCCGTCGCATCATTGTCTCGCGGAGCTCGGGCGAATGTGAACAGCTGACCAGTGCAGCCGCGGCTCTTCAAAGGCTAAGCCAATTGTCGCGTCTGCAGCCGGCGGGACGTCTTACTCCTGAGTGCGACGCCTGTCTGTTGACCCGCCGTCTCAGCGGCGGCGTCCTTCTGTCGACGTGCCGTCCCTCGCGACTCGGGTGCCGCCCCTCGCGGCTCGGGTGCCGTCTCAGCGGCGGCGTCCTTCTGTCGACCTGCCGTCCCTCGCAGCTGGGGTGCCGTCCCTCACGGGTCGGGTGCCGTCCCTCGCGGCTCGGGTGCCGCCCCTCGCGGCTCGGGTGCCGTCTCAGCGGCGGCGTCCTTCTGTCGACCTGCCGTCCCTCGCGGTTCGGGTGCCGCCCCTCGCGACTCGGGTGCCGCCCCTCGCGGCTCGGGTGCCGTCCCTCGCGGCTCGGGTGCCGCCCCTCGCGGCTCGGGTGCCGTCCCTCGCGGCTCGGGTGCCGCCCCTCGCGGCTCGGGTGCCGTCTCAGCGGCGGCGTCCTTCTGTCGACCTGCCGTCCCTCGCGGCTCGGGTGCCGTCCCTCGCGGCTCGGGTGCCGTCCCTCGCGGCTCGGGTGCCGCCCCTCGCGGCTCGGGTGCCGTCTCAGCGGCGGCGTCCTTCTGTCGACCTGCCGTCCCTCGCGGCTCGGGTGCCGTCCCTCGCGGCTCGGGTGCCGTCTCAGCGGCGGCGCACGTCCAGCAGGCGAACCGCGGCGACCGTTGTCGCTCCCGGGTCGGCGGCCGTCGCGTGCCGCGCGGCACGGTCGATAGTGACGTCCCGGCGGCCCTCCCCTCCCCCCCCCCACGGTCAGCTGACGAGCCTGGAGGGGCGCCGTCCGCGGCCGCGCACCTCCCCCGAGCCCGCCCGGCCAGCAGTGCTCAGTTTGCAGGCCTGCACCTCCTGTGGTCCTGTGCCTCCCCGTGGCCGTGTCGCTGACTCGTTTGTGAAGAATGCGGTATGGCAGGTGCGCGAGGGCATGGCAGCTTTCAATGGTGTTATTGTTACTTTAAGATCTTGCCACCGGAATTACCTGTCCAGGCATCCTTGCCTACTTTACACCAGCTCGACTCAGCGCTCTCCGCACACACGGAACTCTCCAACCAGCAGCGGGCATTTCAGTAGCCCGCTCTGTAGGTGCAGTCCTCATCCCAGTCGCCGTGCCTATGTAGGCACTGACAGGGGCGCAGCCAGCATTTTCCGAGTAGGGTAGGGCGGTGGAGCTCGTGAGAACGCACCACGCCGATTTGTTGCTTCAGGAGCCATTTATTGTGGAAAAATACGAATGCGCGCCTGGCTGCACCCCTTAGCTGCGCCTCTGGACGCTGAGTGCGCAGTCGGAGGTCGGGGCGGTGGCGCCTAACGGGCGACCGTAAACACGGACGGGCGCCTCGGCCGGTCACGAACCGCCCCGGGCTGTCAGGCTATGTGTCCGACCCACGGCGCCGCCTGCCGGGGGTGTTTCAGAACCGGTCTGCACGTCCTCCCAAGGCAGTGACTTTTTTTCATTTGAGCGACGATCAAACCAACCAAGACTTTCACGCCATTTGGACTTCGTGGATCGCTTTTTTCGAGTTGTAGATTGGTAGACCCAAAAGGCACCAGGTGAACGTAAACGGTGCTCCTCAACAAATGCCTTGCGATGAGAAATTGTGGGGCAAGCTCTGAAATCGAGCCGTCCGTGACCTATCGGAACAGGCTCTGTGCTAAGCATGCGCGATGTGGGCACATAGGCCCGGGGAAGTAACTCAGCTTTTGCGCCCGTGCTGGCGCCGACTCCTCAACTTTGGCACATGCAGTCCTCCGGGGGTCGCTCACGTCTGCGCCTTTGTGCGCGGCCGCGTGCGGCCGATCCATCCCAGCCGGCGCGTGCCGGGAGCCATCTGGCAGCCCTCCTGCGGCGCTGGCCGCTGCGCTCCTCCCCCGCCGCCTGTCGCGCCGTCCCGCCGTCGCCGCCTCTCAGAAGGCAGCCCCGCCGCCGTCTTCGGCGTAGCAGAGACGTGGCGGCGCTGACCGTGCAACGGAACAGCAGCGACGGCCCGGCCTGAGGTGGCGGCCGGCCCGCGCGACCCGCGCCTCGGGCTGCAGCGTGACGTCAGCAAGGCTCGGAGCGTTTCTCGGCGGCACGTGGTTTCCCGCGGCGACGCTTCCCTTCCTGGCCGGGCCATTGGCTGAAGCTTCCGACGAATGGCGTCCGCGTCGGTTGCAATTCGGCGCGGCCGCCAGCTGCGATGCTGTCCGTCTGTACTTTACAGCGGCGGTATCCGATACCGATGAGGCGCTAGGGCACATCCAATGCTTCGTCGTTGACTTCGACGTGGAAGAAGACTTTCCGGCGCCCCCGGACAGCAATAGGAGCCCCCTCCCCCGCCTCCCCAGTGCCGTCGAACGCACAACCGCTAGCAGCGGAGGCGTATCCTGGCGGCCGCCCGGCGACTCATTGTCCCCAGTATAGCTCCGCGGCAGTGAGGACGGTATTTTGAAGAGCACGGCAGAAAAGCGTGACGTAACTGCGGTTGCCTGTTGTAATAAGGTGACTCCATTACTCGGGTTAGTCATACGCCTCAGACATAATGTGCTGTACTAGGTTTGATTCAAGCGGAAGGCTGCTCACCATGCAGGATAGAACATGGTTCGTAAAAAATGGCACGGGACGATGGCGAGTCCTGAGTGTGTAACGCTGAACAGATGCTTTGGTCTTGGTGTTACGGACAGACGTAACCTCGTAAAGCATCACGAGTGAACACCATGTATCATCAGTATCGCACCAACCACAAAACACCATGCATGGAAACTGAAAACCTGACGAACGCAATTGTTGGACGAAGCGATCTCAGTTGATTCAAAAGATTCACTTCCAGCGGTTATTTGAAGCCTTTGCTCCACTGTCCGCAGCTAGACTAAACCCCCAGGGAGTGCTCAGCCGTCACAGTAAAAATGCGAACACTTGGTCGAAATACGATAGATTTTTTTCCGGCCTGGGCTAATTGTAGTTTATGACCGTGTTTTTTGTGTTTCGATTTGCTGCAAACCTCAGCAACGGAACGAGCTACATTCAGTCTTCTTAACCCACATGCCCAAGTGTATGGGTTGCCCGGGACGAGGTTGGGGGTGCACCCAAGTTCCCATGGGATGCACGTGCAACCAGTGCACCCAACTGGCTACGAGCTTGCTTTGAACTTGCAATGAACTGAATGAGCAATGAACAGAGCCGTATTCGTGTTTCACCTGTAGTACTTCGCAAGTCGCTGAGGTTGGTGGAGTGCGTTTACGTGCCTGCTCCTATGTGAACTGCAGCTCATGTACAGATGCATTGCCTGCAGCAGGTGACTTGATTTACACTTTCCGGTGATTAAGACTCGTTAAATAGGACGCCAAATGCGGTTTGCTAATGGGCATCCAGCTGCTATTAGACCGCACGAGAATGATGCGGTGTAGATGTACTCAATTGGCAGTCGGCGCTGCTTGGCTTTACGGGAGGCCAGAGAAGAAATAATTATGTCTTGTCCTCAGCAAGTTAACTGATCGCATATGTTCTTGTCTTTTGGATTTACTGTAGCTGTGTTTATGCGTGTGCGACAGGTCATTGGTGACGATGGACGAATTAGTGTATTGTTTTTAGGGAGATTGAGTGGGCACATGACTTTCGAAAATGCTAATGGGCATCGGAGATAAACGTCGGAGATCGCCTGCAAACGCGTTTCATTTTATGCAACGTTCATATTTGTTGTAAAAACGTATCATTTAATGTTATATTTGTTGCCGACGAGTTGCTGAGAATAGCTCAACCTAACTTTTGAATCGTTTCACACCTGCCGCTGTTGCCCATCGGTTTTCGCCCCAAGTTTTCAATGCCTCAGTTGTTGGTTGTGGGTTCGAGGAGCTGAGCCCGACAAGTTTGCATCTCAAGCCTGCTCCTCGTCATTACGACGCACGAGCTGCCAATCGCGACGCAAAACACCCGGGCAGAACAAGGGAATGTAGAGCGTCCATCACGAGGTTCTTGGTGTTCATGGCGCCGGTGGTGGCGTTTGGATACGCGGGTTGCGGATACTTTGTAGCGAGCGACCAACTCTTCAGTGAAGTGATGTGGTAGAACGACTTCTTGGTCGTTTTGTCTCACTGAGTCTGCTAGCCTGAAGTTGTAGCAAGCTACCTTGTGGTTCCAAGCTGTGGAACTGGCGCTTGTTTTTTGGTTGCTGGCTCTTTGTTATGTACTGGAGTGACCGAGAATGAGCCAGCGTCCGGTGGCCTCAGCAAAATGGTGTGTACTGAATATGTATCTTAAAAGCTTCTTTGATTGCCACCTCTCACCTTTTCTGTGTTCTGAGCAAGGCTCAGTAATGCTTAATTTGGATCAGGTGATGTAATTTGCTTTTGAAGTTTTGCCTCCTCAAAATTTTACCTCTTTGGTTGCAACATTCATTTGGAACATGTTTAAATGATGTAAATGATGGAAGAAAGCTAAGCAGAGTTGAACATGAATTTATGCAGAATGATGTGTGGAGTTTGGCTCCCATTTCACAGGTTTGCTTCTACCCTAATTTCTTGCTGGTCAGAATGAAACAGCTGAAGATAATGCCCATGATTTGGCTACATTTTGCAGCCAATCTTATCCGGCAAGTGGAGTGGCTTACACTGTTAGCATTGAGATGACCTGGAATTGGGAGCAATGACTCTTACCTGTTGATGGCCAAAAAAAGCATGTGGTATAAAATTGACTTGAAAGCCATGATTGGGTGATTTAAGATATGTCACTTTTGTACTTAGTAGTTCAAGAAGGGCAAGTGAAAGACTAGGCATAATGGGTTTTGGGTATCACATGAAACTTGTTTAATTATGACCTAAATGCATTGATGATATGCTTGTTTGAAAATTAGTTGGCATAGAACTTTCACTTTTTAAGTAGCTATTGGGGCTATGTAGTTGGTTGAGAAAACTCAGCATCCACTTAAGCTTCAGGTTCAGCACTGAGAATGGGACAACATTTGATTCCATTTAAATGTTTTCTCAGCTTCTGTCAGGTATATAATCATACAGACATTTTGTGTGTGGTTTGGCTGTTTGTTCTTCTAAAAAGCTGTCCGATTTTCCGTAGAAGAAGCGTGAAGTAGTGGTAACAAAAAGCGTTACCCTGAGTAGAAAAGTGTAGAACAATGGCAGTATAGCTGCCTGTGTGTGTTTTCTTTGTCTGATGGTGTGGCCCAAAGCACTCTCATAATTGAGAGTGCCACCAGTGGAGCACCATCATCCTCCAAAGGCCCCATTTCAAAGCCAAAACATCGGATCTGTAGTAGTACCTGAATAAGTGCCCAGCAAAAAGCAAGACCCACTCTATCAGAATGAACTGTTCTACACTATGTATTCCCAATTTTGATGATATAGACACTGGAAGGCAACACCACTTGCTGTTAGAAGTGTTGCAAACAATTTTTCTATGGAATGGCAGCAGCAGCAGCTAAACAAAGAAGTGTATGGGAAGCAACATGTCTTGTATATTACATTTAAGGTGAAATTGACCTCTTGATGTCACAATTTCCACTGCTTTGTAAACAAAATGTGTGAAACCATTGGACCAGGCATGATCATTGTGATGTGTACCAAATTTTCAACTAAATATTGTAATTCATTGTCTGTTTATCAGTATCATCTGGTGTGTTGAAGTTGATACACTGTCACCATGTCTGTGCCATCATCATTAGTGCCTACTGAAAATTTAAACTCTGAAGGCAAAATGCAGCACGCTGCATTAAGCACCCATATGTCATGTGGTGGCTTATGACAGAATACGATGTTTGAACAGCCTGGAATCATTCGTTGATCATGGTTGGGCCTTGGTGCTGGTGACAAAATGCATGTTACATCATGTGAACCTTGGTATACCGAAATAATCTCGGCATTGCATATGCTTGCAAGGATTGCCATGCGAAATCATCGATGCCCGTGCCAATACGATTAACTTACTTGGTTGGAGAGCACGGAATGCTGCACGTCAGACATGATGACTCTGAACGGTGTATTTGCGCAGGTGTCGGCTCGGCGAGAAGGTGGCCAGCATGAGCTCAACGCTGGTGGAGACCGTCTCCATCAACTACGAGGACTTCAACGAGAGCTTCTTGACGTGCGGCACCTGTCTCTGTAAGTCGTATGGCGTGGGCGATTGCGTCATATCATCCTGGTGCTTGGAGACCCCGCAGCTCAACTGGTAAATGTTCGGACGTTGGACACCCACGAGCGGCGTGCCTGTGGGTTTGTGCCAAGAGACACAGCTTGTGTGATCTGTCAAAGGCAGGCAATCCGCAGCTGACGAACATGGACAGAGCCTGGTAAGTGTTTGTGACCTGCAACGGGCCGTAGAGACTAAGAGCCGCCTTCCCGTGGCCTACACTGTGGTAACGCGAGCGTTCGTGGCAGGATTCGAGGCTGAAACATACCGGGTGCTTTGCCCCAATGTCGTGGCGCTTGCCGCTGGCTTTGGACACGTCGGTGGTACTTTGCCTCCAGCCCACTCATCCGGAGAATGTCGCGCGTGCCATCTGTCGTCACTCTGCACTGGTCGGCGTGCAGTGCTTCGGCCGCCCGAACCAATACACGCCCTCTGCGGCTGGGTGGCGGTTGGATGTTGCCATCGTCGTTGGATGTTGCATGTGATCTGCGTCGTTTTCATATTTGTGACCATGAGGCGCTTTCTGCAAATCCTACGAACGGTTGAAAAGCATGCATCACTTCCATTGTTTTAGTTCAATTTTGAATTGGCACTTGGTGATATTGGATCTGTGTATACGATGTGGAGAACAGTGTTGAGAAGCGTAAGCGTTCTTGTATTGAGAGCTTCACGTATGCAGAGCGAACTACCGTAAAGTTAAGGCCTGTTCACACCTTGCAGACCGGTCTGCAGATTCTGCAGCCGTCAGCTGTTGCGAACTAGAGATGCCACGTTAAGAACGGGCAAGACGGCTGTAAAAGGCTCACCCGCTCGTAAAGGGCGGCTAAGAAGGCTGTAACATTGATTCCTCTAGTCCGCGACAGCTGACGAGCACAGATCCCGTGGCCACCCCGTAAGGTGTGAGCGGGCCTGTGTTACACCTGTGCGCTAGTGTACGACGTGGAGGCGGGCGAGGCGACGTCATCATGCTAGGCGGTAGTTTCTATAGCCAGGTGTCTCCCGGCGTAGGCCGGACCGCATTACGTCCGAGATTGGTTTGGAAGACGATGGCAATGGCTGCCTTCCGGTCGGCTACTGGCACATATATGGGCCAGGGAGTGCCGAAATCCGTTAGTGAGTCGCAGATGGTGCATTCGTACACACACAGTGCGGTCGGTTTCACGTATTCATCTGCTCTGGTTGTTGAAGTGCGACTTAAATTCTTCAAATGCTCTAAAACAGGGTTTCGATGGTTTGCGCATGCGGGCCTGGGCGCACCGATCCATGCTAGTCAGCGCGGCTGTCCGTTTTGGCCGCCGTTAGTATGGGATTGTCTCGTGTCGCTGCGGCGCCGAATCGTCGACATCGGAAACCGGTTGGGGTCTGTGGGTTGCAGTTTTTCTTGCAAGGTAAAGATTCTACCATTTTCTTGTCAGTCGCGTAGGCTACTTAAAATCGTAGGGATATTGCGGTGATACAAAAAAATGTCGCATGATGGAACAGTTAGCTTGAAAGGACGTACCAATTTAAGCGGTTCAAGTTTTACATAATCGCATTCCTTGTTGCTGGTACAACTGTTGCTAGTGTGCTGTGAACTTGCGGCCGGTGATTGGAAATATATTTGAAGTCGCAATAACACAATGGCCGGGCTGGGCGTGGTCGCGCAAGTCGAAATTTTTATCATGGTGCTGGTAACAGGCAATCCGAGGCTGGTTGTGATGTACGTAGCCTATTCTATACTATTATGTTCTGTACTATATACTACGCTTTTCTGTGTACACCTACACTAGTAAACACACTGTTACCGGCCAGCGGCCTGCCGGGCGGCGGCAGCGCGTGGGCAGACGGTAACGGTCCGGGTCAGAGCGTGACCTGCCACCGGCCTGGGGGCGTGGCCACGGCTCGTATCCGTCACACCGGTGTCGTGGGCCGACGGGCGGGCAGGTCACGTTCGCGGCGCGCGCCATTGTTGTGGTGTCAGTTGACACCGGATGTGCCGTCGTGCGTGTGGCTGAGCGGTCGGACCTGGGGCTGGAGGGTTGTATGAAGAGTGAATGGAGGCTTCCGTGTTTGCCGTTTCGACCCTCCCCTGCCTTTTCGCTCAACGTACTTTGGAACACGCACCGTTGTGCTTGTCGGCTCGGTTTTCTCCCGTTTCGTTTGTTTTCTGGCTTGGTGCATTACTGCGTTTTCGTTGCAAGGGTAGTTGCACCAGGCCAGTGTGGTAATATTTTGTATTCGGCTTTGAAGTCACCAGCAAGGACCTTGAAAATACCTGGGTATGTCGAAGAGCTGCACTGGGACGTGGATAAGCGAACTCTGCAATCTGCGGTCCCTTCGGGGCGAATATGTGGAGAAGAACTGCAACCATTATGGCTCTTCAGTACGGCTGTTAAGTCCTGCGACCTTGAGCCCTCACTCGGCACGCACTTGCGTGTCATTATGAGGTCATGTCATGCCAGGATGTCAGTGTTGTGCTGGATGAAAGTTACAGGTGAACCTGGAGTTAGTTGAGCCCTTTGCATATGCTTGAAAGGTATGGAAGGCCCCGTTGCTTAGTTTTTGGTATTTTCACGTATATTCACGTTCGTCACGCACGATTCGGCGACTTCGTAACTCTCCTTGACGTTTTGAAGTACCTGTGGGGCCCGATGTGACGCATAAACGGGGATTTTTGTCAGTTAAGTCCCAATGAAATGCCAACTAGCTATTGTTGAGACCAGAGTCCTTACTTAGCAAGCTTGTTGCAAGGGTGCCGAACATGCCATCAAAATGACTCAAACATCTGAGATAGTTTTCCACAGTTTATCAACATGAGTATTTCACGGAGTTTTTTTACGTCTAATGCAAAGTCATAGCGCGGCCGTCTGTGGCAAAATTAACTCCCTGTCGGGAAAATTGGACGTTTTAATTATGGATTGATCCCACGTGCTTATTGTTATCGTCCATTGTTGAAGGCGTTCACTGTCAAAAGGAGTTCTAGATAACTTTATTAAGACTCATATAATAGCGTCAGTAAGTTTTATCACAGTCTAGTCAAGCGAGAGGAACGACAAATAAACAATTTGGAGTGAAGAAAAAAACGATGGCGTGGCAAGGCTTACGCAGAGGAACATAGTACGCTATCATTCTCCTTGTTCGAGACGCGATAATAGCGAATTGGTATTCGAGATAGTGGACGAAAATCGTGAGGAGGGGGGGGGGGGCATGGTCTACGGAGTGGTTACTGGTCCTGTGCTTCAAGCGCTATGCCTCCGACACTGGCTGTCTCGTGAGATAGCTCGCGTCGCCCGAGGCCAGCGAGCGTCGCTCGAGACTGGCGAGTGTTGCACGAAACCAGCGAGTGTCGCACGAAACCAGCGAGTGTCGCACGTTTCAAGACCACGTCGCGTGGTTGTCAAATCCTTATGAATGTGTCGCAGGGCTTTGGATTCTCTGACTGCGCCACCAAGTGTTACTGTCTCCGAAACCGTGAGAACTACGCAGGCGCTCAGCCCAGACTATTGCGACTACTGGCTGTCCAAAATGTTGGCGGTTTTCCCAGTGCTTAGGCCACACTTACCAAAAAGTTAAGCAACTCCCAATTTATTCGCCCCGTCGATGACAATTGTCTGGTATTGGCAGGACCAACGGAAATCAGCATCGAAGCCGTAGGTGTTTAGGGTTCGGACGCCAAACGCCCGTCAGGGCTCCTCTGCATGCCAAAGCCATGGAAGTAGAGCATTCCAGCGCACTGCGGCATTTATCCGGGGGGACTCTCAAAGGCGACAAGCTCCATTCGCTTATGTTTGGGTGCCATCTGCCTGGTGGCGATCATATTCTTCTTATGTCGCGGAGGACGTCTTATTGATATCATGTCATTTTGGTCCCCGATGGAAACTGCATGCACTTTACTTAAGTGAACCTGAAAGCTCGCCCGTCCTGCAGAGTATAGGCGCACATTTACATCGTAACGTGCGATTCCGTGATAGAGTTAAAGGAGTTTGCAGCCGTCTGTACAGCCGGTACCGCGCGTGTGGCATTCCTCACCGATCCGTGTCCGTGTCCGAAGCCCCCTCTGACCCTGTCACGTGGCATTGGAGCAAGCCACTAGGCCGTGTCCGGGCGGGGCGCCGCAAACACGCGGGCTATGCCCTGCATGCTAATGGGTCGCCGGGGCCCGTGTCCCGGTGAGCCGGACCGTGCGCCCCTCCCCTCGCCCGCGGCACGTGTAACCCGATGCCGGGGAGGTGGCGGCGCCGAGCCCAAACAAGCGCCCCGCGCGCCCGGCCCACACAGCGGCGCGCTCCACCCCTCCGGCGGCCGGCCGTCCGCACGGCCCGCCGCCGGAACAACAGACTGCAGCCAGTGGCCGGGCGCGGCGATGTCCGCCTGCTGTGTCCCTTGCCTGTGTCTGTCTGTTTGTCTGCCTGCCTCCTCTGCTCGTGCTCTGGTATCCCGGCCAGTCTGTTTGATGTGACTCTGCCACATGTGGCATCCGCGCCCATGTACATGTTTCTGTCTGTTTGGCTCCGTACATGTTTTTCTTCCCGTCTCGTCATCTCGCTGCCGTCCTGTCTCTGTTGTCCCATCTCTTTGTTCGTTTTTTTTTTGTTCCTCGCTGCACTGAATCGTGTTCTTGTTTCCCTGCTTTTTGTCACCATCTTCCATCTCCCCGCTCCTATTCACGCCTGCGTTCGTTGCTGTCTGTCCAAATTCATAAATCGGTCTCTAATCGCCATGGACGTCATGCTCGTGCAAGATATACCGTCCCATAGCATTTTCTCCCCACGCAGCAACAGCCGCCCGCGTGCCACGTGAACACGATACTCCCGCTCCTATTCTTCACGCGTGCTCATGTCCGCCAGGCCAGCTCCCGTCCGGTGTGCGGGCGGGCCGATACGTGCGTCCCGCGGGGCGTGCCTGAGGCAGTGGCGGTGTATTTATATATCCTGCCATAACGTATGTCCGTGGGCGCTCTCCCCGCGCCGTCAGCGGACGCCGCTGTTACGTGGCCAGTCTGACCGCCGCGCAGGATGCCCTGCCGTTCGCCAGCTCCCAGAGCCCGGATAGCCGTTTTTATTGACGCGAGCGTTGGGTCCAGCGGGCTGCTGTCACCGTGCATTTTGCTCGGACCCCGCCGTGCCGTGCCGCCGGCGTCTGGTCCGTAGCCGTCGGTCGGCTGAAGGCGGCCCTGTTTGTTTCAGGCACGTACGATGGAGCCGAGCACACGCCCAAGCTCATGCCGTGCTCCCACACGGTGTGCCTCGAGTGTTTGGCGCGCATCGTCGCCTCCAACACCAGGGAGCCAGGTGAGAGGAGACAAACACGCGCGCGTGACTCGGCCAGACCGTCGGCTGTGGCCGTCCGGTCGCACCTGCTCAAGAGGCGCTGGTAATCCGGCGGGGGCCACCGAATAACCTGCGTTCTTTGTTCGCGTCTTCGCTTGTAGCCGTTTTTAGCAGTTCCTTTAAAGGGATTTAGATGAAAGAGCGCGAAACGTTGCGTTGCTGCTAGGCCGCTGCTCTTCCGGTCACGCTGTGACGAACGGGCTGACTGTGCGCCGTCGCTGTTCCCTTTACTCGCCATTCATCACCCGTGGGCTTCGGCTGTTGAGTCTCGGCGGCCCCCTCCCAGCTTTGTTTGCTCTCGGTTGCCGCCGTCTCAGCGCTGGCCACTCAACACAGCTGCCGCGAGGGGACCACCCTCTGTGTGTGTGTCGGGGGGAGGGGTATCCGGGGGCGGTCCCATGCCCGTCTCGTGCTGCGGCCGCGCCGGCACCGTCGACGTCCTCCCCCGGGCTGCACAGAGGCCGTGTCCGCCACCGGTCACGGCCTCTGTGTGTGTGTCGGAGGGAGTGGTATCCGGGGCGGTCCCGTGCCCGTCTCGTGCTGCGGCCGCGCCGGCACCGTCGACGTCCGCCCCCGGGCTGTACAGAGGCCGTGTTCGCCACCGGTCACGGCCTCTGTGTGTGTGTCGGGGGAGATCCGGGGGCGGTCCCGTGCCCGTCTCGTGCTGCGGCCGCGCCGGCACCGTCGACGTTCGCCCCCGGGCTGCACTGAGGCCGTGTCCGCCACCGGTCACGGCCTCGCTGTCACCTCTGCTGTCTGCTGCTGCTCGCCCCGTGTTTTGTCGCCTGCTCACCTGCTCTCCCTCGGTCGTGTGCAGGTGGCCGTCGCCGTCTGTTGCCGGCGGCCGGCGGCCAGCGGCTGCTGCTCTCTGCCGCTGTCTAGCGATGCCTGCCACCATCTGTAGCTGTCTGGTGATAGCTGATGGGGTTTGCTACCTGTTCGGAACCGTTTCTGATGAGGGATTCTTGGGAGCCAGATCTCCATGGCAGCGCAACGCGTCGAGATCGAAAGCTGTAAAAGACACGTTATAATGTAGCAGATAAATATAGCAGCACCAGTTCTACCAGCGAGACATCATATCAGCCCACAGCTCCTTGGCCTAGGCAGGTGGCTCGACATTCAAGAGGTTCCGTGAAAGTCTTCGATGTGTTCTCCACGGCGAACCACGCAATGCCAATGCGTCTCCCAGGGCTGCGTATTATGCGCTCAGCGACGGCTTTCCCTCCCGATTTGGGCACTGTGCGTGCGCGCGCGTGCGGCGCTGTGCAGTGCTGGCGAGACGCGTGTCCCCGCTTCGACACACCGTGCAGCGCGCGCCGTATTGGGCTCGAGGCAGGCGCGATGTGAGATATGATGCTGGAGCGGGAGGGCACGCACGCACAGACGAAGCCGTATCGGCGGGAGCAGGAATCGACGACAGAGCAGGGTCAGCTCGCGGAGTCCTGCCCCGTGTTCCGTGTGTGTTACCGGCAGTGGGGCGGTGTGACGGCCCGTGCCCTGTTTCTCCCGGCATCGCAGTCTGACGCTGCGCACACTCCGTCTTTTGACGCGCTGGTCTGGCCGCGTGCTGGTCCGCGCAGGCAGGTCGTACTCTGCTTACCCCATGTGTCGCTTGGTCACGCCACTGTCACCAGCTACAGCAGTCGGGGTGACGCGGGCGTGCACACAGCAGTGTCACTATTAACACCCGCTGCATCACCGGAACAGTGTCGTCCAGTTCCGTCTTTGTCAGTGGTGTAACACTCGCTGGTTGTAATGCCGTCGTGTCCTCAGACGTGACGGCCCGACCCTCTGTGCTATATGTGCCACCAGGTACGCTGACAGACCGTGTGCACCTCCTGTCACCAGGTGACAGTGGCGTGACCGTGCGTACCCCTGTCCGGCCAGGTGCCGCGTGTTGTCCGTGCCACCAGGCAGAGGCGTCCTCACCGCGCGTACCGCTCCGCCACCAGGCACGCTGCGCTGTCCGATCTGCCGGGCGCTGATCCCGCTGCCCACGGGCGGCGCGGCGGCGCTGCCGCCCAGTTTCGTGGTCAACCAGCTGCTGGACCTGATGTCCCGCCAGCGCCGCGAGGTCGTGCCAAAGTGTTCCACGCACCAGACAGAGGTGGGTCAGGCGGGGAGCCCGCCGCCGACCGGGCGCCGAGCGGCCGCCCGGCCGCAGCGGCAGGATGGTCCGCGGCGTTTTTGTGCACGCGGGGATGGAGCGCGCGCGAGGTGTGGCGCAATGGAACGCTGGCTGCGTACTCTGCAACGCCGGCAGCGTCGGAACTCCTGGTGGTGTTGAAAGGTTTTGCCTTGCGAAACTGCCGATGGAGTGCGGCCACGAGGTTGGCTGGGTGACTCTGATGTTGATACAAAGGCCTGTCCGCTGGTGCGCCGGGTGTTTGCGCCTACCGATTTGGTGAGACCCGTGCCTCGCTGTGTTGTTGTGCAGTAACCGTCGCTAAGTGGGATGTGCAGTACTGGGCCTGCGATGCGGGATATACATTTATGTCTTGCTTTTTGCTTGCTTTTTTGCGTGTCCATGCCGTTGTGACTGATGCGGCGCTGTGCTGTGCAGAACCTGCTGTTCTGTGAGACGTGTGATACGGCGTTCTGCGCGCTGTGACTGACCCAGCTCTGTGCTGTGCAGGACCTGCTGTTCTGTGAGACGTGTGATACGGCGTTCTGCGCGCTGTGACTGACCCAGCGCTGTGCTGTGCAGGACCTGCTGTTCTGTGAGACGTGTGATACGGCGTTCTGCGCGCTGTGACTGACCCAGCGCTGTGCTGTGTAGGACCTGCTGTTCTGTGAGACGTGTGATACGATGTTCTGCGCTCTGTGACTGACCCGGCGCTCTGCTGTGCAGGACCTGCTGTTCTGTGAGACGTGTGATACAGTGTTCTGCGCTCTGTGACTGACCCGGCGCTCTGCTGTGCAAGACCTGCTGTTCTGTGAGACGTGTGATACAGTGTTCTGCGCTCTGTGACTGACCCGGCGCTGTGTTGTGCAGGACCTGCTGTTCTGTGAGACGTATGATACGGTGTTCTGCGCGCTGTGACTGACCCGGCGCTGTGCTGTGCAGGACCTTCTGTTCTGTGAGACGTGTGATACAGTGTTCTGCGCGCTGTGCTGCGAGTCCGGCCACGGCGGCCTGACCGACTCGTGCGAGCACACGGTCGTGCCATTCTCCATCGCTATCAAGCGCATGTCCGAAATACTCCTGTACAAGGCGAACGAGTGCATATCGAAGGTAAGGCTCGGCGGCGGCCGGACACGGGTGCCCACGCGTGCCGACCGCTAGTCAGCAGGCTGAGCAGCGGCAGGTGCCCGATTGAAATCCTGCGACAGTAACGCGCGTGGCGGCTGTGTGTGTGTGATCTCCCTCACATGTGTGAGGGAGAAATCGGTGGTGGGCTGCTCAAAAAGTCTTCTGGCATTGGCTTTTTGCAAGTCCCGTGTGTCTGAACCTCTTTCCTCCTCGGTTCGGTTGTTGCATCAACGCACCTGTGGTCAGTGTCAGAAGTGCTTTGTTATATGAATCTGAGTCACTCGCTTTTGGTATTACGGGAGATCTGCTATGGTCTCCATTGTTTAGCGTTTTATCTGAGCATCGAACCGCTGACCACAGGGTGTCTTGGGACAACAAAAACAAGGCTTCCTTCTCTCCTGTCAGGCCTGCCTGGACGCGAAAAGCCGCGGAACGCGCGGAATGCAGCCGATGCTGTTAATGCCAAGGCGCAAAGGCGCATGCAAAGCTAGATTAACCTTGACTGGCTGGGAATGTAATGCCGCCTTTCCTTGAGACGGTCCCGACATTTCTCCGTTGTTTATTATCGCGTCCTCCATTAACGAGATGGTTGGCGGCCCGTGGCGTGTGTCGTTCCCGCGTGGAAAATGCTGTAACGGTACGGTGGAGGTGTAGCCTTGCACGGGACCACCGCCTCACGTGTCGACCTTGGCGCCTGTTCCCAGCTGAACAAAGCTCACGACGCGGTGCAGGCCGAGATTCACGAGCTGGAGCACGGCGTGGACGCCACCTTCGAGCAGATCAGCACCTCCTTCCAGGAGCTGATCGACAGTCTGGAGCGGCGGCGGGCCCAGCTGCTGACGCAGGTGCTGTCACGGACACCGCCCCCACCCCTCCCCCGAGTGGTCACGGTCGGCCACTGAGATAGGGTGACGCGGCTGCCCCAGCTGCTGATGCGTGTTAGCACAGACACGGACGTTCTCTGGGGCTCACCGTCCTCTGCTGGGACAGACAGGGAAGCCGACACCATCAGGCGCTGACGACACAGGCACTGATGTCCCCTCCCCCTTCCCCCACCCCTTAGGGTCATGGTACAGTGTTGAGACACGGGGAGCCACCATCCAGGGCGCCGACCAGGTGCCGACAACTTATCCATCAGGAGTTTCCCGCACTGATGTGCAGAAACACCACTTCCCACCAGGTCAGCTTGGGACAATGGAATGCTCCCACAGCGTTTGTGCCACGACGTGAAAGACCTTATTCCTATTGTGCTGTAGCACTGCTCACACGGCGCAACGCTGCGTGTCCTAAAGCCTGGTCCACACGGACCCTGCTGTGCGACCCTCGTCCGACACCTGACGTCGACGTCGACACCTAACGTCGCCTGCTCTCCGGCGGCAGGTGAAGACGACCCGCGACGAGAAGAAGAGCGTGCTGGAGGACCAGCTGCGCCTGATCGAAGCCGAACGCTCTAAGGTGCAGAGCCAGTGTGACGGACTGCAGTACCAGGTGAGGGAGGGAGGGGGGGGGGGAGCACTGGCCCCGACCGAGGGGCCACGATCATTGGCCAGAGGAGTCCGCCAGCCGTCCGACGCGCGTGCAGTCCTGACTGGAGACGCTCCGCCTGCGTGGTTGGGTCGCTTGTGGTGCTGATGAACAATGCCGGATGACATTTAGGTGGTATGCAGCTGTGCGGTGTGTCTCACTTGTATTTGCGGCTTTCTTTGGCCCGTTAGATGGATTAAGGGGCATCCAGACCATTGACTGTCTGGGCAGCGGGTTTGACGTGCCCTTCCTGCTGGCAGTGATGTCTTGACCCAACGACTCCCGGCTGAGTGGTGTCCCGGGTTTTAGGGTGTGACAGTGGTGTACGGTCGCTGCCCACCGAAACGGCCGCCGTCCGTGGGCCGGGGAACCGTGTTGCCGCGACGACTGGGCCTCAAAAACACTGCCTGACCGTTGTGTGACGCCGGCGCCGACGCCGACGTCTGACCGCGGCCGCCGACCGGACGCCGCCCGCGTCCCCACAGCGCTGACCCGCCGCCCGCCGCTCGCCGCCAGGTCCAGGTCCGCAACATTACGCGCCAGATCAGCGAACTCAACCAGAAGCTGGACTCGGTCAGCAGCCTGAGCGAGCCGCGCGAGAACGGCTTCGTGCGGTACGAGTACCGGCACAACGACAGCCCGGCGGCGCTGCAGGCGGCGCTGGCCGCCTTCGGCCGTGTGCGCACGTCGCGCACCTTCCCCGGCCTGTGCCAGCTGGGGGAGGTGAGCGCCGCGGCGCACCTGCAGGCCAGCGTCCGCCTCACGGCGCTCGACTACCACGGCGAGCGGCAGACGGGCGGCGGCGACCCGGTGACGGCGCGCCTGTCCGACCCGGACGGCGAGGCGATGGCCGTGCGCGTGACCGACCTGGACGACGGCACGTACCAGCTGACGTTCCGGCCGCGGCGGCCGGGGCCGCACGCGCTCGACGTTCGCCTCTTCGGCCGGCCGGTGGCGCGCTCGCCGCTGCTGTTCGACGTGTCGCAGCACAACGACCCGGTGCGCTGCGTGGGCGCGCGCGGCGACGGAGACGAGCAGTTCTGCCAGCCGGTGGGCGTGGCCGTGGCCGCCGACGGCACCGTCTACGTCACCGACACGGGCAACTCGCGCGTCAAGGTGCTGGACCACGAGCTGCGCGTCACCCAGCACATCCTCGGCTCGGGCCTCGAGGAGCGCGGCGGCACCGGGCTGGCCGTCTCGGAGACCGGCTCGCTGGTGCTGGTCAACTGGCGCGCGCGACAGCTGACGGAGGTCACCGCCGACGGCCGCCTGCTGCACCAGTTCACGCACGAGGCTCTGCAGGCGCCGATTGACGTGGCCGTGTCGCGCGCTGGCGAGCTGCTGGTCGCCGACAACGGGCTCGACCAGGTGCTGGTGCTGAGCCGCGACGGCCGGCTGCTGCGCCGGCTCGGCGAGCGCGGTGAGGCGCCCGGCCAGTTCCGCCAGATCTCGGCCGTCTGCGTGGCGCCCGACGGCAGCGTGCTGGCCGCCGACTCGCGCGTGCAGGTGTTCACCGACCAGGGCCAGCTGCTGCGCGAGCTGGTGGCAGAGCCGAGCGGTGAGTGGCGCGCGCGGGAGCGGCGCACGGGCTGGGCTGCCGGCCTCTGGGAATATCGGGTGATGGGCTGGGCTGTGTGCCGACCAGAGCGGGAATTAGATAATGCGATGCAGAGGAGATTGGGAATAGAGGATAGAGGTCACTGTATTTATGCCAAAGTAAAATACGTCATGTTCCGGTGGCCACGCTACCCTGTGCTCATGTGGGAGCCGCCTTTGTCCATGACGACTGGGCGTGGCACCGGGTGCGGCCCTGACGGCTCGTGTGCACGTTTCAGTGCGCGGCTACTACGGCGGCGTGACCTGCGATCACCTCGGGAATGTTCTGGCCACCCGCACCGAGAAGTCGCGCCACTATGTCCAGGTGCGTGACGTCCGACGCGGCGCAGGCTGTCCTCAAACAGCGCCAGATGATGCTCTCCCCGGCCGGCTGCCGTTACTTGAGAGACGGTCATCTGCGCTGCTCGATCGCGTGCTCGCAGCGGCATGGCGCCCGCCACGTGCTTGCGGCATTCACGAGCTTAGAGTCAGACGGGACATGGCCAGCTGTTGCTTCACCGACATCATGCAAGCTGTGCACCAACCTTGTTGTGAATGTTGCCGAGTTTATCTTGACATTTTCAGCCCCTGGAGCATCCTCCATACGCTGACAGTGTTAGTGCTCTGTTCAGACGCAGGTCGTGTGCGGACTTGGCTATCACTGAATATTACAGTGGTCCCCTGCTGCCAGTGACCGGAGGGCTGGAACATTTATGGCCCCATGTCTCTGGAATGCTCAAGTCCCAGCAGTCACATTCCGCGATGAATAGCTATTCGCTGCCGCCGTTATTGCGTGGCGTAATGCTAGTATCGCACAACAAAAAAACGCGGCTGAGTACGCTCGGGAGTACCTTTTCTGGGCGATGGTCCTTCGCTGCGTATTAGCGGCACGGTCACCACGGACGGCACCATTCTGCTGGACATGTCTCGTCAAGTCCGGCCCCGTACCATTCTCCGCACGCGCGCCCTCTGCAGGCACACCCCGTGCCCGATCCTCACGCGTCGCCCTCACTCGCGCCCGCTGGCGGCAGGTGTTCTCGCTGGACACGGGCAAGTTGCTGTTCTGGATCGACTCGGACGGCAGCCGACTCCGCCGTCCGTCTGGCCTGGCCTGCTCCAACGACGGCTGCGTGTTCGTGGCCGACCTGGGCAACAACTGCCTCAAACAGTACCGCTACCTGTGACCGGCGGGCGCCGGCGCCGCACCCATCACCGCGGCGCCGGCGCGAGGCGCGCTCGGCCGGCCGCCGGACGTCAGCGTCCCGCCCCCCTCCGTCTCGCACTCTAGTCTCGATGTACTTAACTGTGCGTGGGCGTCGCTGGCGGCGTGCTGGCTGAGCGGCGCGGCACAGTCGGCCGCCTGCCTGGCCGCCGGCTGGGCGCCGCTGCCGGCCGGCCCGCGGCCGACCCGCGTGTGAGGCGGCCGCTGCGACGCGCCGCTGGCAGAGACGGCTTTAGCACGTGGCGCCGGCTCGTGCCGCGTCTCTTCGGAAGGCCCCGCCAGCCGCTGTCGCCTGCCCTGGCCCGGCGCGCCTCAGGGGAGGAGAGCCAGCGGCGGCTCGCGCGACGCCGCCAGAGATTGGCCGCCGTCAGCGGTGCCCCTCCGTCTCTCGGGAGTGGAGCCTCCGGTTCGGCCTCGTTCACCTTTACCTGTGCACCGCCGAACAACCATCGAAGTGGTGTCCCGAATACGCTTTATGTACGTATATGCTGTAGCGTTCGTTTCATGATTAACCGTTCGTAGCAAGTTCTGTTTTTGCATGACAGCCGAGTGCCTGACAGTTTGTTGGATGTGAATAAAGGATACGCGATGAAGAACAAGACGATTTTTTCACAGACGTTCACGGTCGTACTTTGTTAATTCCATCGCCTTGTGGGGAAGGCAACATCACGAATTCACTATCACATCACGGTCATCGTTAACTACTCTTCTCAATTACCATACTTCGATAAGCTTCACGCACAACCCGCAAAGGGCGAATAACGATTAGCGTCTATCGCATTCCGAGCTACTACCGTTAATACATGCGTGCAGTGCGAACAGAGCGCCACCGTTCTCCAATGGAGGTCTCGTGTCCGACAATGTGCCGACTTAATTTCCGGTGTGCCTGATGTGGCGCGTCATTTGGGGACCCAGGCGGGTATGCAGGCCTGTCGCCACGCGGCCCCTACACCAGTTGCCTGGTGCACAGGCGGGCTCTAGACCAGATGCCTGGTATACAGACGACCTATATGACTGCCAGAGGCCGCCTGGAATCAGCACTGATTCCTTACGACGCGGACGTAAAACACCGTGAGGCGGCGTATGCCAGGTGGTGTACTGCGTCTCCTGATCAGTGCAGTGCGCTTCACATTTACTGAGTCGCCAACCTGTGCGCAGTAAGCGTTCACGATTACCATGCATAGAATACGGCCTGAGGTCACGCCAGTAAGATGCAGCTACACAGTTCCGGGCATCCGCTACTGCGTTCCTTTAATTCCTACACCTTTTCCGCTATCATTCGAAGTGGATATTTAAAATATAAGAATGCTACGGCCGCCGTGCAGGTGGACAGTGGCAGGTCCCTGGCGCTTTGCAAAGAGCTAGATTTAGCCGCCAGGGAGTTATGAGCGTGCTATTGTTTGCAATGCACCCGAGTAGGCACCCAAGGCAGACTTCACACCTGGCGGGGCGTAGCGATAGTTAACGACATCAAACACATCTGCCCCACTAGCGAACAACACCCGTACAATTGCATTGCTGGTGCGCCAGGCCCACGCGAGCCCGGCCCCCACCCCCTGCGCGTCCGGCGGCGGCCGGCCCGACGTGCGAAAGGAGGGCTGGCAGCCACCGGCTCCCAATTCCGCTAAACTCGCTGGCCGTCCGAGGCGCCTATAAACCGCTCCGTAACGCGGACGACTCGGCGTCGGCCGTCGCCGTCTCCGACCCCGCGGCGGTCGGCTCTCCGCGCAGGAAGCCGTTGATGTGCGGCAAAACGTTCTCCGGGTGCGTGAGGTGCACGTGGTGTCCGCCGGGCGCACGGAGCACGTGCAGTTCGGGCACGGCGCCTCGGTAGATGTCCAGCGCGGCCGCCTCCTCTTCAGGCCCGATCCACGTGCCGCCCGACTCGGCGAGCACCAGCAGCAGACGGCAGCGCAGGCGGCGCGCGTACGCCCCCCACTGGACCATATCCATTGGCTGCAACGGCCGCTGCCGGTGGCGCAGGTCGTACGTGTACTCGTAGAGGCCGGTTTCGGGGTCGCGGCGCGCGCCGCGCACCAGCAGCGCGTCGGCCGCCGCGTCGTCCAGGTCACTGACGGCTTCGACGAGCCGGCGGCGCAGTTCGTCGTAGCCGTACTGCGGCCGCGAGCCGGCCGACAACTTGCGCTCCGTCTCGCCGAACGCGAGCACGGCGTCGCGAGTAATGCTCGGGTGCTGGTCGACTGGGCGCGTCAAGAACTTGACCAGGTCGAGCACGGTAAGCGATTCCACGTCCTCGGGGAAGGTAGCCGCGTACAGCATGGACATGCCGGAGCCCATGCTGTGGCCCATCAGCGAAAAGCGCTGCCAGCCGAAGTGGTCGCGCACTAGCCGGATAAACAGCACGCCCTGCATCAGGCTGTAGGTGGAGCCGACCGGCATGTGGCTGGAGAGGCCGTGACCTGCCGACAAACAGCGCCCGTCTGAACCGGTATGGCTGACATCTCAGCCTGCGTCAGTTGCTGACATTCCCGTCCACGCACCCATACGCGCAGACGACAACATTTACTCTCTCTCGTGGCGTCCGAAAACCGGCAACACATGCATCTACGCAAACTCACGCCAAACGTCAATGCAGCCTCAGTGATCACCAAGAGTTCAGGTGCCACTGGCGCGCCGGGAACGCATTCCGCAGGGTGCTGTGACGTGGGCGTACGGCGGCCAACACCTGCGCCGCCCGACACGTACCGGGCAGGTCAATGTTGACGCAGCGGTAGGTCTGCGGCAGGTGCTGCTGCACGGCGTCGAAGGTGCCGCAGTTGTCGAGCCAGCCGTGCAGCATCAGCAGCGGCCGGCCGTCGGTCGGCCCGCTCTCGCGGCCTGCACAGCGGGCGGACAGCGCGATCAGGTCACCGAGCCGAGGCCAACCGGCAACAGGGCACGTCGGAAAGGTGCCCGCCGCGTCAACACCTTCAACGATTTACCAATGCAATACGTGTGTTCGTTGTCTTATTAACAACACCATAGATAGCCGTATTCGTTGACATTTATTAACGAGCATGCGAACGTTTTTAGCTGGAGTGCAGCCCTAAATGTCTTCAGCTGGAGTTGAAGATACTCTAACGAGAAAATTCGCGCCGTTTCCGTCAGCTTCGCCCTGGATTTTTCCGTCCTCTGCATGCGTGGCGTTGGACACAGACACGGCGAGTCGTTGCCCTCGTTGCACACCGTTATTCACCCACCGTTGACTCTGTGCACTCTGAACTCTCAGCTAGGTGACACACCACGTTCATGAAGTGCCTTGTCATGCAAGTCGCAATATGTGCTCGACTGTGTCGGTCAAAGTCCTCACCTGCAATGTGCCCCCATGGCACTGGTATCTGAACTTCCCGGATAGAGCTCATTCCTCTGAGGCTTTGTGTTAGGAATGAATGTCTCGCGACAAGTCGGGATACGTTCCTACAAAGAGTTGTCATTCAAGAAACCTGAAAGGAATTAACCTGTTAAAGACGATTTGGAGTTTTGGGGCGCGTCTACGGCAAGAAGTCGTGCAGCGCCCAGAACCATCGTACTACGAGGCGAAGTCGCAATTCAAACGGGTTTTTGATATACAAACACCGTCAGCTTAAACGACTGTGAGAGCCACAGTCATTTGACCAGAGGTGCGATGGAGAAAGCATCACAGAGAAACCTACGGCAGATAGAAGCTGATCTGTCCAGTTCCAGCAGTCTGAGAGTCGCTACTTAAAATATCGGGCATCCCTCAATTTTGCCCACTTGACTCGAACCCCTGTTGAATTTTGTACCATTTGATTATTTGTATTCAACTTTTTTCAATGAATTTTTGTCCCACAACCATACAGAGTATGTACTATGCACTCATACAAAGCCCCACTGGATGGGCACTTAAGCCCTCTCATGGCTGATGCATGGAGGCTCTGATAATTGGGGTGTCACAAGAATGCAAGATGAAGCGAAAGTGAGGAAAGAAACTCAGACACTACTGCTTTCAACATTCAATGCTTGTTGCACAACTCGCAACATTAGAAATGCACAATAGAATGTGCAAAGTAAATTTGCTGTTTCCCTTACCCAGGCTGTGTAAAAATAAATTGGGGTGCAACAGCTGACTGGTGGCAGGACCCTGGACAAAATCGCTACCACACGCAGAACTTTACGACCTATTGCTAGATGTGGAGGCTGTCCATCTCACACCCACAGTGTGCCTCCCATACTCATCTGCCCACTAAATGCTGGATCTTTGTTACTGATATAAACAGCTCCCAGCACTTTCAGTTCCAATTTTTGTGTGCACTTAGTCAGTATGGTGGTGTTTTCTACTAGCTTGCATTCAGATTAATGCTGCTTTGGCATTCCATTGTGGAGGTGCAGAGCAAAACCACTAGCATTAGAAAGAGCATCAGAAATTGTTGTCCTTAGTAAAGCTTGTTGAAACTGCCCATATTGCTTACAGCCAAAAACTGCCACATCTCAGAAATTTTCAAATCCAGCTATGGCCCACAAAAAATCAAACACACAACCTCCCTTCACAAGCAAGGGGAGGTTACCAGGCAATAGGTACTTATCATGAGATGCACTACTGAATGACTAGCTAGCAGAGGCCTTAAGGAAGGTTGAAGGGGTCATAACCAGTTCTTCAAACATAATCATATCATAAACTGACTAAAAACTTACAACAGGCAAAATGCTGCATGAGTGGTTACTATATTCACACCACATGCTGTACGACCCATCACACCACAATCTGATGCAGCAAAGCTGCAGTGAGTTTGAACCATATAACACTCCACACCAGGAGGGTGTTTCAGATTTTTTGTAAGGGTGTGCATTTTTGATGATATGTCAAAATTGCCTAACAAAAGATGGCATGGATACTGGAGTATCTTTTACCAAAGCCTCACAGCAGAAAAGAACTGGAAAATTGCATCTGGCCATAACACATTGAACAAAATACACATACATTTTGATAAGGGGCACACACAGCTCCGAGGTATATGGCCCTCTTGACACCACTTAAACAAGAAATTGATGAGCTTCTTTGATTGAACAGAGGAAATGACAGGAACTCATGCGAAGTTAGTTGTTGCAGGTGTCTATTCATTGTTGCATGTCTGTGACATGCATGTAATGCACCCCACACAGAGCCATTAACACTCATGACTATTTGCGACCACCCTTGGGCACTCCTGGGCATGGGCGCCCTTGAATACGATTCGCATGGCAACCAATGAAACAAGGAACTGACTTGTACTTTTTGATTGCACAACGCAAATAACAGTAGCTCATAAAAACTTAGTTGTTGCATATGTCTGTTCGCCGCCAAGCGTCTGTAGCATGCACACTACACACGCAACGCAAATCCCATCAACACTCACGGGCACCTTGCGTCAAACGTGCAGGAGATAGGAGCAAGCGAACCCTCCCACAAAGTCAATGGGATGGTAGTGAAATGGGACAGTATCCCATTTGCGAAACGTTGATAAACTCGCAGCGCTTTTGGGAAGAGCAGCTGTTTGAAGTTGTCTACAAGAAGATGATGTGCTTTCCAAACGGCACACATCAACCGGCTGCTGAAGTTTACAGCCAATCAACTTGGAAATGACATCACATTTTGGTAATACTCTCGCTGATGGTGAACGCCGAAAACAAACGGTATATTGCTTACATATATGACGCTGTTGTGCCGTGTAAGCATGAGAAGCATGTCCCTAACACATTTTCGTGTTGCATGGATTGGATAGGTCGGGATGCAGCGTGATCATTTTATAGTTAAATCCCACAGCAAGTGCCTAAGCACCAGGGGGCAGGCAAACAAATATATTTGTCGCAGTCTCTGACGCTGCTAGTCACGGTAAGTTTTTTTCTTGCAGCAGTGCGCGTGTAAAATGAGTTGTCCATGATCTGGTTGGCTCAAGGCAGGTTTGTCGGAAAAAGACTGCAACAAAATATACATCACATCGAACACAGGAACCTGTTGGCATAGTGACTCTTGCAGGCACATGCCATGTCTTCCTATATTATTCATTGTTAAAAATGGTGTGCACTCTTGGCAAAATGAGCCCAAGGTAGAGGTGATATCCCAGCTGTAATACCAGTACACGTGGAGTGTAAATTGACTTTTACATGACTGTCATTGGTGCACAGCTGCTACCAAGTTCAATGCAGAGAGGGAGCTAATGTGTCAAGACATTTGTATGTGGTTATAGTTGTAATCCAGCTGGGACTAGACCCTGAGACCCATGGATAACCATCCACTTTGTTGACATTTCCTGAGATGCCTGATTGTGACCCTTCAAGTACCTGCTGAGTTTGTATCCCAGGTGCACCAATAGCCCAAATTGATAGAAAATTAGTATGTCTATTAAGGAAGATTGATACCCATGACATTAGAAGATACACAGCTAGTGCCTTGAGGAGGGGGGCACACAGTTGACAAAGTGCTCCCTGCCAAAACTCACTGGGTATGGTATATTTCTTATTTTGGGCATGTTCTTGTTTTTACTTTTCACCTTTCTCAACCAGAAAAGATACCAGAAGATACAGCAAGCTCAATTTTACCTCAATGCCATGGCCAATGAGCCAGTGAAGTAATGTGTTGAAGGACTGCATGAAATGAATATCTAGGTTCTTATTTTACCATTGTCCAGCAGTTTCTTTCTAAGCCAATAAGAGATGAGAGGCTTTGTCAGAATTTGTATCTATGTTCAGATATATTAAGGAGGATGCAAATATAGATTGTATATCAAAAGGGATTGACAATTTGTATTAATGTGTCCAGGCCATGTTTGCCTGGGAATGTTCAACATTCAGATAGAATTAATCAGTGGTACACATGTAACATACTTCTGAGCATCCATGCTGGCAAATCTAAGCAACACAAACCTTGCTGCCAGGCGTTGCAGTCTCCATAGACCGCGCAGCGTTGGTCCTGGGGAAACACTGAGTCGTGGCCGACGGGTGGACAAAAATGATGACAAATGAGGAAAAGTGCCTTTCAATGCTGTAATATTCCGTTCGCTAACGCAGGTTTGTTTTTGTATACCATAAATCAAAGAATTAGTTTCAGTAACGTCCGCCCAAAAGCTCGGCATACAGCCCACCACAGCTACGAAGCCAGCCGCGCCGCCCCACACAGACAACAACGCGCACAATAGGCCGTCGCCCCACACGCAGACTTCGCAGTGGTGACATGATCAAACACAGATACCTGTAACTTCTGCTAGGCAGCCGAACAACTACGGTTTAGCGTCAACTACGGAAATAAACTTCCAAAACACCTGAATACTACATTCCTCCCCCTCCCCCTACGCAAATCTGTAACGATCTGGAGCACGCACGCTCCGTCCCGAACGCCTGAGAGCACCGCCACGCACATCATCGGTACCGTCGCGCACCTGGTCCAGCTTATCGCCAGCACCGCCCGTTACCACCAGCTCCGCTCCCGCCGTCGGCCGCTCGTGCAGCCGGCCGCTCCTCAGCGTCTTTTGCTGGCTCTGCATCCGGCAGAGATGATGATGAGCCGGCCCGGTCCGGGGAAAACCCCGGCTCCACCCGCACATCTCCACCAGACGATACCGGTACCGAAGTCACAGCTTCGTCATCCGCGACCGTTGCCGCCGACGCAGCGCGACGAGGCGCTTCCGCCGTCTCCACTGCCGGCCTAGCGCGACCGGGCACGACCGCCGTTGCCGCCGCCGCCGGCACACGTGATGCAACTTGCTGAGGCGACCAGGATGCACTCTCTCGGCTCCGCTGGTGCTCCGGCTGCTGTCCCACAGACAGATCAGCAGGCTGTTCCGCCGGCTGGTGATCAGGTGCAGCCGTCCAGCGAGCGAGACGCTCGGCGTGCACCCTGGTACCGCGATCCAGTTCCTAACTAGATGCACCTCGCCAGCTACAATCTGTCCCGGCTCAGAGAGTCGATGGCGCCCCTTCCTCGGCCGGAGTACCCGCGGTACCTGGTCCAGTCCCCGACGTCGTGCGAGGGAGGCCTGGCGCTCCTCGTGCGGTCAGTGTACTTCCGCTAATACTCCTGCCGACTCCGCACTCATCTTCGTACTACCTCCTGCATCTTCGTCTTACTGTGAGGCGACTCAGCGGCTGCCGCGTGTAGCTTGATCCTCAGTCGTCTGCCGTGCAGCAGCTCAGACGGGCTGACTCCGGTGGTGGCGTGCGGCGTGCTCCGGTACTGCTGTAGGAACTTCTGCAGGTACCGGACGTGGTTTTCGCCACTCTGGTCCGTCTCCTGCAGTGCTGACTTCACTGTGCGGTTGGCCCGCTCCACCACACCCAACCCCGCCGGGTGGTACGGAGTCACGCGAATCTGACGAGTTCCTACACTCTGCAGGTTCTCAGTGAAGGCTCCGGACGCAAGTGCGTCCCGTTGTCGGAGACCAACTCTTTTGGATGGCCTTCCCGCGAAGTGATCACCTCCAGCAACTGGATAGTGGCTTCTGAACGCGGTTCTGCACAAAACCCTACCTCGATCTACTTGGAGTTGTAGTCCATCAAATCTATCGCGAACCGTTGGTTCTTGGACGCCTCCACTGGGCCAATGTAGTCCACTCGACCTTGTCCCATGCCGCTTGTGGCAAAGGTGCGGTCTGCATCGGCGTGCTGCGTGTCCTGGCCGTCTTGTCTAGCGCTGAACAAACGTCGCAAGCTCTGACGCTAGCTTCTGCTTCGATGTCCGCGCAGACCCCGCAGCGGTGACATGACCAATGACAGATTCCTGTAACTTTCGCTAGGCGGCCGAACAACTCCGGCTTAATGCGAACTACAGAAACAAACTTTCAGAACGCCTGGGCACTAGAAACGCTGCATGACACCAAGTCGTACTTCTAGAAGGTAATGCCGGCGTATATTTCACCTGTGCGATTTTTTATTGACAGTAGGAACGGAATGGTCCTTACAGCACTGCGCAGTGGTGCTAAAATCTGGTGGTAGAATTAGCAGAGTAAAGGGAGAATCTCTTTTTTCGTGCTGCTGTAACTTAATTTGTCCAGAGAACCTCAAAGTTGTAAAAAAAAGGTACGCCCAGTCTCATTTTTGAACGGTGCGCATTCATTTTGAAGGACATTTGGACCCATTACTTTATGACGGTGGTTCTCTCGTGTAGGGTGCTCGCCGCCTGGTGTCCTTTTATGACGGCGGTTCTCTTGTGTACGGTGCTCACCGCCCGGTGTTATTTGCAGTACCAACGCTTATCGGTTGTACGGAAACTAAAACCGAGGTCATCGCTGTCCTTACTCCCGAAATTGCGGGTGCGCAGGCTCAAACCTTTTATGTATTTTTTTCAATACTCGATTCTGCAAAATGGTGAACGATCGAAGGCAACGGGAAAAAGGCCCTCTTGAAAAGAACACTTTGGACACATTGTTGTTCGTGCTTAAAGACTGAAGTGCTATTCCTTCCCACCGCGTATTGTCTTTCGGCTGCCATTCTGGCGACACGGGGCGGGATCCCTTGGCCGATCCGGAGGCCCTTACAGAGATGCATCATATCACATTGGTCCCCCTGCTGACGCGGGCGGCTTGACCCGTGCAGTTGACCCCAGATCGATGCAGGAACCCTCATTGGCGCAGCAGCATCCCAGATCGCTGCAGGTGATCCAATAACCGACGCATAGACTCTAGCTTGGCTTAACCGGCCCATGCTGGAATTGGGTTGGAGTGATACGTTCTCATGTTCCCGTTCATTGTCAGAGGGCCCTGACCAACGCCAGAGGTCCTGTTGTCCGGGGTCACGTCCTTGTCCCTGTTGAGAAAAGTTCCCCTGACTGACTCCGGACCGCTTGTCGACACAGAATATCCTGTGAGGCATTGTCGGCCCTTGAACGATACAAGAGCCTCGCATTGTTCCTGGGATCCCGACCATTGCAAATCGCGGTCACAGCCTTGTCCCTGCTTGGGAAATGGGCCCCCAGAGCTCAGACCGGGCTGCGCGTTGTTGATAATCTCTAGCCAAAATAGGGGAGCGCTCCGTCTGAGGCATCGCCAGACAGAGTAAGACGCCCTCTAACCCACATTTGAGGTCACGGCTCTTCGGGCGGTGGTCCTTAATGTGACCTTCAACTAGCCCTCCGGACTCTTCAACCTTACCATCGGGTCCTTGATCTAGGGTCTCGAGAAACCCCTCAGCTCGTTTTCGGGCCCCTCAAATACCGCCCCCGGCCCGACTCGGTGTCACTCGTCGCCACAGGAGCCCTGTTAGACACTGTAAACCGTAACTGACACGGGAGCCCCGCATTGTGTCACGGACCCAAAACATTACATATTGCGGGCCCCGGCCTTGTTCCTGCTTGGGAAATTAGTCTTAAGAACCCAGGCAGACATGGAGTCGACTGTTTGGCTCCATGTTGAGACCCTGTTTGAAAGGGATAGATAGCTCTAATAAGAGGGCCCCAAAAGAAGCCCTCTCACTGACATTTTAGGTCACGGCACTGCGGGTGGGAGTCCTAGCCCGAATCGAATCAGCCCCTTGATGCCTCAGACTTTTGATTCCTGAGCCCCTCTTTGGGCCTGGTCGAACACTGTCCTTGGTCGGCTCGGGGCCCTTTGTGAGCACAGGGCCCTCTGTTAGGCACGGTGGGTCCATAACAGATACAGAAGCCCCGAGCAGTGTAGATCACTTGTCCCGGCTTTGTAGCTGATTGAGAAGTGGGCCTTCAGGCCCACACCGACACGGAGCCGACTGTACGGTTCTGGTGGTGCTTGGTCGGCGTATGGGCCCACATAGACTCAGGGGTCCCCGATCAGCACGAAGGGCCCTCTGACTACCATTTGAAGATCCGTCCTCGCAGGCCAAGCCCCCTGGATAAGACTCCGACCAGCCCTTCATGCCCTTAGACCCTCCAATGGGACCCTTGATCCTCGCACCCGGGGGCCCTCCAGGCTCTCCAGGACTCCTCGAACGCCGTTTGGCCGAATCGGGCCCCTTTGCCAAGGCAGGGGCTCGACAAAATAGGCGCTATGGGGCCCTGACAGACGCTGAAGCCCCTGCCAAGGTAAATTGCTGGCCCCGGTTCGGCCCCGGGTCCCGGCGTGGGAAATGGACCGTTAGGTCCATACCGCGACGGAGCCGACTGTGCTTTACTGGTGGTGTCAGACCGACATATGGACCCTTATCGACCCAGAGGCTCCTGATTAGCACGCAGGTGCCTCTGGCTTGCCATTGGAGTGTCCAGTCCTGCGGGCCGGGCCCCTTAGTGTGACCTCCGGCCGGACTTTCAGACCTTTCGGGTCATCAAATCGGGCCCGTAATCGTAGGTCCTGAGGGGCCCTTCGGGTCCTGAGGGGCCTAACAGGACAGGAGCACGTGCCCCCTGTTGTGCCCCCCCCCCCCCCGCCACTGCCGGCGCCGCTGGACACCAGTTTTGAAACATGAAGCCATTTACTAGCAAAAGTGGATCAGCACCTTTTGTGTTCTTTTTCTATGCGGAATTTTCCTATTCTGACGTCATTTTACGACCAGGGTACCATCGTAACTTCATCGAATAATTCAATTATGGTACTGATTATGAGCCAGTTTAAAGTGTGAGATGTTCTGAGTTTCATACTAGCGGGATACGTCAAAAAATTGTAGGCGATGGGGTAGTGTAAAAAAGGAAGGCGGCGGCGGGAAGCACTCGCAGATCTGCTTTGGCCACATTGTGGGTGCTACGTACCGTTTCAGATTGAATTCAGTATATTCAATCTCACTGGCCGTCGCCATAGCTCATAGGATGCAACATGAAGCATATGACGGCAGGATCACTGCCATTGTGTTCTAGTCTCAGAACCCACGCTGGTTTACCTTGCCACTGTTGGCCTATGGACAACTGGCCGAGGGACTCAGGACTTACTTGGAGCGATTGACATTCTGTCAGCTTGTAATTATAGATAACTTGGATTGCTTCACTGGCTATGATGGCAATTGAAATACTGGGGGACAGGGCTAAGGTGTTTGCAGCAAAGTTTGCTATTTAAAACATCATTTCCAAAATGGTCCCTGCAAATGGTGCAAAATATTTGATCACATATTTGAAGTAGCAATGGAAGCATGCACAGACTAATAGTGTTTAAAGAGTGGAGCATGTTGACTTTCTACGTCTACGTACGGTTGTACGGCACCCATGAGCATGCTGGAGCCATAAATGCAAATGCAAGCAAATATTTCGCACCACTTTGAATAATTTTTTTAGCAAGTGTTTATCTCCAATATAACCACATGACATCGCGGCGTCCGTTGCCAGCAGCAGCTGATATGGAACACTATTGCCGCGGTGGGGTGACCGAGGAACCGCTGGAGCTGTCCCAGCTGCCGTTCAAGACGCTGCCCGACGACCTGATCTGGATGAAGGTGAAGCCAACCAGCCGCGTCGGCAACATGGTGGGCTATGTCAAGACGCAGCTGAAGAGCCATGACCACGTGCTGTGGAGCGGCAGTGGTCAGGCCGTCTGCAAGACCATGATGAGCGCCGAGCTGCTGAAAAAGTGCGTCAAGGATCTGCACCAAGAGACGCATTGCTGCTACAGGAGGTGAGCGGAGCCCTGGATGACGTCAGTGGGTCTCACGCGGGACGTGCTCTCCCCGAGTGTTTTTCTTGCGGTTTTTGTGTGGTCGTGGCATGATGCCTTATTACGATTGACGTTGTTATACGATATATATTATACATTACATATACATACATATATATTACGATACGATGGACGTCTGGCGATGAGTTTTGTCCGTGTGTGCGTCTAGACAATAACGTTGTGTAAATGACAACGGTCACTGACCTTTGCACCGTTCGACCTCTTAGTTAACTGATGTCACGCAGTTTATGAATCATAGATCCCATGGTTTGTCCGCAGAACCGTGGAACTGTGGAAACCGAAGGAGAACGAAGCTCTGGATACATTGAAAGTGAACAAAGACGTGCCATCCATACACATTTTGCTGTCAAAATCAGCTGTCAATCCAGACAGCCCCAGGTAGGTGATTATTTTGCTGAGCAAATCTTTCAATATTGTTGGTGCTAGATCGAGCACTGCGCCCATCGACCACTTACATGAAAGCCTAACATATTTTCTGTATACGTATCAGCATTCGGCATGTAATCAGCATCGAAGCAGCTCATCGCAGTTGCCCGCATTTGGTTCACCGCAACCTTCTGTGGCATTAATTTACCTTTACCATCAGGCTTCATTCCAAACCTGCCGGGTTTTAGGCTCCCCGTCATATATCACGCGCTTGCGGCGATCGCCACGCCTTGACCTCGCCTCGGCTGCCTGTCGGCAGTTACCAGCCGCCGCTGCAGACGGTGCCCTTCTGGTCCGTGCCGAGCGAGCAGACCACCACGCAGACGCGGAAGCCGACGCTGGCCTCGCAGACGGCCGGCCCGGCCGGCGGGGACGCCAGCCTCAAGAAGCCGCGCAGGCGCGGCCCCCGGTGACCACGAGGGCCGGGCTCCCCACGCCCGATGACGCCGGGCTCTGGGATGATGTTGGGTTCTGTCGGCAGCAGTGTATGTCGCGCCGTTGGGACGCACAGTGCACGCTGGTGCGCTTCTCGCTTTCATGACTGGCGCTATGGGTAATGTCACACGCGATAACCCGATGCAGATGAAGGCGAGACCGACCGGCCGTGGGAGTAGCTTGATCTAGCTGACTGGGTCAACCACAGGCTGATCGGTCGCCTGAAGAGGGCGTTTTGCTGGCGCTGTAGGCGCACTCGCCAGTCTGGTACGTAGAAGTGATGTATGCGAAGTTCAAGATCATGCGACTGGACGATGCAGTAGCCGCCTGCCCTCACGCGGCTGACCTGCGTTTTGCCTATTTGGAACACGCCCCAGTCGGTCACCGAGCCATTCCCGATGCACAAGCGGGTGATACCGGTCACCGGCCGGGGCCGGACCTGACCTGGCGTCAGAGCGTGTCCCAGAGCCTGCCACACTGAGCCAGTGTCTTCTCGGATGATCCCCGGCGTGAGGCGGGCTTGGGTGAGCTGGCTTGGTGTCGGAGGTCACCCGAAGCTGGTGTCTTTCCGGACGATCCCCCGACGAGAGTTGGGCATGGTGGTCCGCGCGCTAGTGATATGCACCGAAGACCGCATTAAGGGACGTATTCACCGCTGGTCCACGAGTCTGTCTCAGGGGTGCTGCGTTGTGCTCGTGTTCGCGCGAGCGCCCATGTGATTTTTGAGTGTTGGGTGCAGCTCCATACATTGTCTTTGAAATGTTGGAGGTTCCTATACATTTATTCATGCCCGGTTCGCACAGATGACAGCAACGTGCATGTCTGGCAAGAAGAATTAAAACGCGTTCTTCACAAAGCGTCACAATGTCAAAGCAATGTGCAATTCACCGCTAACGCCCAAGAGTTAAGTTAATCTTTTCATTGTTTAAGTATCGATGGATCCACATAATGCGCCGCAAAATATGACATGTTTTTCACGCATTCGTTTACATTCAGTTCATTGCTAGAGGGTGTTCCATCGACTACCTGTACGAAGCATCTCCCACTGGCAGGCATATACTATCATCTAACCACTGCAGTTATCACTGCACACACCTCGCCACGGGCTTTTCCACCATCGCCACCTTAGCCACACCATTTCATGTAACTCAACACATACAAAACATAAGCACAAGCTTCGGTCTGCAAAATAGGAGACTCGGTACATGCCCACGGGCCGCGTACAGCGCGCGCAGTTCTACAGGCTGCAAAATACGAGACCCAGCACGTCCACGCCGGAACAGAATTCCGCGTCCACTGCGCGTAGTTCCACGGGCGTGAGTCGCACCAACCCGGCTCGCCTGTGCTGCGGTCGTCACCACGGTGCCGGCGCCTGCGTCCGTCGCTCGCGCACACCGCCGGCCGCTCGCGACGACACTCCTAGGCCTCGGACTCCTCGCCCTGCACGTCCTCCTCGAGGATGGGTACGTTGAGGTTCTCTTTGGTCATCAGGCCGTACTTGGTGACGAAGGTGGTGAACCGGCGGCAGAGGTGGGTCTCGGCCTGCGGGAGGCGGGGCGCGCGCGCACGGTGAGCACATCACACGCGAAGCAGGGTGGCGGGAGGTGTGGCGGTCACAGCTCGGTGGGACGTGGACCAGTGCCACGGCTGGTCCGCTGCCGCAGCTTCGTGAAGCTGGGAGTTCGCTGTTGTATTCCGCCATCACGCGTGGCACTGATGACGGTATGGTGACTTCGCTTGACGCGAGGACAGCAAACCTTGTAGCTTGTAAAGGTGAGCTTGTAAAGGTCAAAAAATTTAGATGGTCGATGCGCCGGCTGGATCGGACATCTGTTTTGGCTATCAATTCGATCAATTAGAGGTAGTCTAGCGAGCTCAAAAACGCGACCAATTCAGGGCACAACACCGGCGGCCGCCTAGACAGACCCTTTTCAACCACATCTCCCACTACTATGCCGTATTCGCCAGGGGACTAAACATCAACAAACGTACCTCGAATTCGTCAAACAGCTGTCGGTGGTGGAAGTAGGCGTGCGAGAAGATCCGGTACACCCGCCGGCACACGGAGCCCAGCTTGGAGACGGACGACTCGCGGATGCTCACCCTGGCGACGGCGCGACACTCATCAACCGACGCAGCCCGGCTCGCGCCAGGCGTCCGCGGCAGGCGATACAGGCGTGCGCTGCGCCTCGGCCCAGCTGTCCACAGAAAGCCCCGTAGCATCGAAAGCGTCCTAGCGCGGTGCGGGTTCACCGGCTATCGCGTCGCGGGAAGAAAACAGGAAACGATACGTAGAGAACCACCACCGTACGGCGCCTCGAATTGGCGCTGCAACTTTCGCCGACGTGCCGGCAAGCACCACTCCATTGCGGTTCAGCACCGGGCTCGCAGCACGAATGTCCCCGACTGCAGGGCGTTGGTACCTCCCCAGCATCCCGTTCCGCCCGGTGCCGTCCGGGCACCCGTCAAACCGTACCGGCTCGGGAAGTACTTGTTGCTGTTGAGCAGGCAAGCGGCGCCGTCCAGCGTGTGGCGCGTGTAGTCGATGGCCGAACACTCCTTGGGCGTCTTGTGCGCGGCGCAGAGGAAGATCCACTGTTCGGTGGCCGTCATCTGGGTGCACGTGTCCGGCTGGCAGCCCAGCTGCAGCTTCACCGCCAGCCCGTTCAGCTCCATGCAGAACTGCCTGCAAGACCGACGGCAAGAAGGTTCCATGGGAAATGCCAGGTCGCAGCCACATGCTAGATGCAGCATGCAGTGGGCAGCGCAACTGCTATGATGAACCTTCCGATTTCCATTAACTGGCAGTTCTTACGCTGACGTGCGTATCACTAACGCACCGCCAGCAGCCCCACGCGCGTGCGCATGCGCACTTCCGGATTGTTTGACGTGAATGTTAACAGGATGTCTGAGATGTTCTCGAGTCCTTTACTAGGTTCTAGTACGACTCCAACATGTTCTCAGCACTAGGCAAATTAAATTAAAGGAACTGCACGATTTATATTCCCTATTTTTTTATTTATTTCAGCTGCAAATAAGTAAGAACGCCCTAAGATCTATGGAAATGGTCATGAAATTTGCTACCTTGGTAATTGTAGCATTGCAATGCGGGTAATATTCATTACTTTTCGTGAAAATACACAACTGGTCAAGGCTACCATCCAGACCTCAGGCCGAGCCATTTCCCTTCAATGTCGATATGAGAGGGAATCATCAATCACGGTCCTACATGTGTAACGACGTCATGTTAAAACACCATAGCTAAGTCATACAGTGGTAAAAACATATCTGATGCCAGAAATGACCTCGTGTTGCCATCTGTCACATGGACAACAATATTCAGCTATTTCGCAGAAAGCACGCCGTGGCACCGTCGCAGTCTGTAACATCATTCGTGCGGATAAAGCTAAATCAATTAACTTTCTGTTATTTTTGGGCTTGTAACACTTTGATCCACTTTTTTGGACCTATCTCATTTTTATGGTGAAAAAACAACATACAATGCCTTCCATTTTTTCCCACGAAATTACGCCCCTTCTTCGCCTTCCTCATGTGCATGATTATCAACCATGTAATGCAACATATCCATCGCAAACATGATGAAAACTAGATGCCAAAAATGATGAGTTTTCAAACACACGCAATGACAGAACAGTTGCAGGACACAAGTATGTCGTACGTATTGCAGATGGACCCACCAAACATCACAATAATTCCCACGGGAGATGACCAACGCATGGTTAGTGGGACCAGCTTCCATTAGAATCAAGACAGGATTCCGCAGGATCTCCGAGACACCAAGCTTCCCTCAGGATCGGGACAGGATTCCACAGGATATTCGAGACACCAAGCTTCCATCACGGTTAGGACAGGATTCCGCAGGATCTCCAAGACACCAGTCCATGCCCCGGGCCCGGAGCCGGGCCACCCTACAGCGGCGAGGTTCGGTGGGGCGCATCCCTCACCTGAGGTGCTCGTACTTCCAGACGCCCTCGTCCTGCTGCTCGGGCGCCGTCAGGATGGTCTCCACGCAGGACGGATCCTTACGCACCGTCTGCTGGATAAACTGCTGTACCGCCAGCGTGCTGTCCATCTCCTCGAACAGCTCGTCCGGCCAGCCGTAGAAGTCCTGCCGCACCCACCAGCCCATAGTTAGCTCACAGCGCACGGTTTCAACTTTTTCATCACCGGGGGAAACGAACACCGGGAAAAGCTTTCAAATTAAAATATCCACTGGAACATTAAAATCAATGGATGCAACCGAAAAATCTGCCCAGTGCCATAAACACTTGCAAAATCAAATGCAATTTAAATGATCTGGAACATATTTCATAACAGCAAACATGCTTAACCAATGCTTACTAAACAGGTTCGTCCATTCTATTCTGTCACACAGTAACGTTTCATTTGGAAAAATGGAGGGTAACCTACCGATCTCTTTGTTCCTGGACGATTCCTTCTGATGATGGGAGCCTCCGTCATGATTATCTAAAACTGTCCGATGAAAGGGATAGAGCTAGCCTGAAAATGAAAATGTTAGCAAGGGTGTCAGAGCTTGCCAACATTTGGGTCCACAATTTTTATTTATTCATTTTATCATGAAATGCTAAATGGCTCATGCAAAATAGAAAAGCAATGAATGCCAATTTAACACTTGAAACACTTGAAAGGGCAGCAGTCTTTGGCCCGATTCATGCATGAACGGGTGCTCTTCGGGTTAAGATAGCTCTGTGTGGACATGATCGCCTGATAATGGGGCAAGTTTATGGGGCCCCAGCTCAAAAGGATGCCAGCCACCTGAAGCTACATGCTCTGTCCTACAGGAAGCACTGGTAAGAAGGCCCAGTTACTTGGTGGTGGTAGGCAACTTTAAGCACAGGGAAATCAAGCAGCATGTAGGGACCTCCAGAACATCAGCTACTCACTACACCTGAAAGTTCCTCTCCAGAGCGAAGGCTGGGTCCGCATGGTACAGCATGTAAATTCACCAACCCATGTCATGCCAGCCTGTGAGATAAGTATAATAGACCTAGTGTTTTCAGTGAAGGGAGAGAATCATCAGAGTTGGAGCATGCTTATCTGCTGGGAGGCAGCCATCAACAATGTTTGAAATTCACCATTGCATGTTGCAGAGTACATGCAGGGGAAGGGTACCCACAGAAAATATTAATCAAGGAGACTGTAAGTGAATGCAGAGGCTTTGCAGGGTCTGGATGTTGGACATCTGATAGATACTGTGAGGTACAAATAGCCTGGTAAATTTGGAATGAGGTGTAGAGGTGTCCCATTTAGTGGAAAAATTTGCTCCTCTGGGAAAGAAAAAAAATGAAGAAAGCATGCATATAGCAACCACAAACTTATTCAGGACAAGAGGAGACAGGATACACTATACCAAATACTAACTAAACTAGATACTTAACTAGAGATAAACTAGAAGACTAAAGAAAACTTAAGATAAACTAGAAACTAATGGAAATACATATGTATATGTCCTGCTAAATAAGGTAAATGGGAAGATAGCAAAGTACTGGCTTCAGAGGCTCCCAAGAAAACCTTTGTGATGGCAAGTGGGGAAGATAGCTGAGCAGATCCTGCATAATTCAAAAGAGAGAGGGAGAGAGTCTAAGACCTGAGCAGAGCAGAGAGCACCAGGGCAAGAACAGGA